ATTGTAAGCCCTTTGAGGCAGATATTATTGAATTGAATAAAAACTTTCATGAGTTCTCTCTCATCTTTGTGAGGTTATTCATCTTTCCTATAATCTTCCACTACGTCATAACCCCACAACAAAATCCATACTAACTTCTTCCCAATGTGAACTATAGGAATTGAAAGGGGTGTGTACAACCTAGTATTGTGGCCATGACTCTTGGCGATGTGAATTTGGACCATTGCTATTTAATTAGGAACAACCCTCCAAGCATAGGTAAATGCAGAAATTAAAAAACCTTGAATACAAAATAAAAATTACAATTCTCACATACTTGAAAATATAAGCTGACTATATTGGAAAAAAAAACTAGAAAATTTAATGGAGTGAAACTTTGGAAATTCTATAGCTCCTGCCTATTTTGAGCACCCTCTATTCAATCTATCTTAACTTTCCCTACAAGTTACCAAAAATTGCAAGGTTTGATGCATTGGAAACTAGACAAAGAGAGCTTTCCAAAGAGTTGTATTTGACTGATTCTCTTTGAACACTTCACAGAATTGGTTCAAATTTCGGTGTAATAATTGATGTGCCATGTTATTCGTGCTCAACACAAGCTAAGCACTAATGTGAAATGGCGAAGATGGGATGCATACTTCAATGAATAGTTGTTACCATGATGGTTTATAGTTGGAGACAACATATATAGAGATACACACATTGTCACGCCCCGCCATCGAGGCTCAAAGTCAAATGTACCATGTAGCAATCTACGTAGATAGAAAGTCAACAAAAAGGTCAATAGAGACCCAAGTGGTCAAAATACAGTAAAGTTGTGTAGATTACCGAGGTACTACCTCACCCAGCGAAGAAGTGCACCTGGGGTAAGACGCTACTTAAAGAAACGAAGAAAGAGCTAAAACTCTCTACTTAAAGAACCGATTCCGAGGCTCTCAGTTCATCCGAAGCTCATAAGCAAATGTTGTCTCTTGCAAGATATTTGAGTATCTCTTAGAAATAATTGATGTAACACTTGTAATAAAGGATGCCAGGTGTCAGCATATTGTGCAGGGCGGCTGACCCCATATAAATGTATTAATTGTATGAATAAACAAGGATATGATGCCTCAACTTAGGAGATGAGGACAAGTGGTTCTAATCCAACTGATACCACGTCAGCCAATGCAATATAAATATACCTTCTTTGTAACTTAGAAGGGGTTGGAAAAATTAGAGTTAGAATTATCATCTTCTCATGTCTTGAACTCTCAAATATGGAATCAAGAAGATATATGACCAAATTTTCTTTCAAATGATTGTATTTCCATTTTACATCATACACTGAGTAGAAAAATTGTATAAGTCGATGGTCTTATAATCTACAATATTATTTTATTTTCTATCATTCCACATATTCTAGCAAGATCTTTGGTTAGTAGTTTTGTTCTTGTTTGGTGATCATTGTTAGCGTGATCACCTTTGTTTCACCTTTCGGAGCTCGAATATCTTTGTCTCTCATTGTGAAGCACTCCCCGCGTTAAAATCCGCCTCCTTTCTCACCATTTTTCTGGTATAAACGCGTCGAAATTGGTTCGATGTGGCGAGAGTGGGTCTGACATCTGTTGGCCCAATTTTCGGGGTCAACAGGTTGGCCCGTCTGTGGAAAACCATACGTTTAACCACGAAAGTCATGTGGGAAGAAGCCGGTAAGAAAAACCTTGGAAGAAATTTCCTAAACCTTGAAAAAAGAGCGTTCTTGAAGAAAAAACTGCTGGGAAGCTTAAGGAATGACCGTGTGAATCTTATGCTCATTTGATCCTTGAGGAAAGGAACATTTGGTCAAGAAAAGTGTATGTCGATATGAGTTCAAACTGTGAGGAAAACGCATCTCGAAGAACAAAGGAGCACCCTGAAGAAGATGAACCCTCACAAGCTGCCCCTGTTGGTCATCCAAGGCCTAACCAACAACATAGACAAGGTACGTCAAGAGGCGGGGGCAGGATAGCAGCAGACTCACTAGAGAGGTCGCCACAATAGCCGCTAACATGAGAAATATGACTCAGCAAAACACAGCTATGTATGAGCTGTTGATGAGCATGCAAGGTCAAATAGGATACCAAATTCCTCCATACGTAGCCCCTAGAAATGCATTCCAAGATCCTCCACAATACTACCATGAAGAGAAAGATGTTTAAAGCCAAATGGCAGGGTACCATCACAACAGGATGGAAACCCTCAAAGAAAGGGAGGTTGGAGTTGACACATCAACTAACTATGTAGGATTGAGTCTAGGGTTGCCTAGAAATAGGCAGCCTCAATCCACTCTTGCACCTAGAAATAGGCAACATGAGTCTCTTTGGTTCGAAGGACATGAACAACCGCTCGCCATGAAGAGCTTCAGATTTCTCCTCCTAGAAATACACGTGAGATGAGAGACCGAGCCAGGAGTGAAGCCGGACCTTCCCCTTCATTCCCACAACATCCTACCCATGAAATTTTTAGCTTTCCACTTGACTTTAAGTGGAGCGACCGAAATCTGGTACGCCAGGTTGTCAGAAGGAAGCATCCAAAGGTGGTCGGACTTTAAAAGAAAGTTTCTAAAACTTTTTAGTACCAGTAAGGAAGGTAAAAGACCAATTCAACGCCTGCAAAACATGTGACAATAGCAGGATGAGTCTTTGAGAAGTTTTTTGTCTCACTTCACTGATGAGATGACCGACTGTGTACAAGTAATAGATTACGAGGCTTTAATTGCCTTAAGGGGAGGTTTTGACATGAACTCTATCTTTTGGAAAGATATACAAAATAAGGACCCTACCACTTATGATGGCCTACTAGAAATGATAAGGCGCGAAATTCTCAATGAAGAGTTGGGTGATCATAGGAACAGGGCCAGCCAATGCCTCCCCCTCCACAAATGTAAAGGGAAAAAATGTCATACCTCATATTTGATAGATCACCAAACTCCTTTCAACCCTGGACAAGCATTGGCCGCCATGAAGCTCGATGCAGTACCCACTTTAGCTTATGAGGAGGTTAACCTTGGTGCAAAAATGCATCAATGCCAACCTTATCAGAGATATCCTCAAATAGGGAGGGGTGGAAGATGAGGCGTTGAACCTAGAAATAGGGACAAAGTACCTATTTACTGTACATATCATCATTCATATAACACCACACAAAAGACTATTGGACATCACAAGGCATCCTCAGGACACAAATCAGAGGAAAAGCAGGTGCCTCTGAAGAGACGCTCCTCTTAAGTAGACTCAACGGCCTAGGAATGCTTAATCGAGGCACCCTAACAGGAACGATGCCCCAAGGGAAAGGGACAACAATGCTGAAAGACCTAGAGAAGTACAAAGACAAAGACGAAGCTCCCCAACAATTGATGGACAGGAACCCATCAGAGAAATTGACACTATCCTTGAAGGCCCATATGTTGGGGGAGAATCTGGGAATTCACAAAAAAATTATGCCAGGGAAGCAAAAGACCCCACAAGCTTCATAGTTAACTACGCCCATGTTGAAAGAACAATTCCATCAATCACCTTTACCTAAGAAGATGCAGCACGTGTGCATTATCCATACTGTGACGCCCTAGTGTAAGGGCCGTCGTGGCCCGTAACGACCTAAAAATAATGTTAGTAGATAATGGAAGCTCGATCAACATCATTTTTGGAACCACATTTA